TTGCCAATTTTCATGGTCTGCGAATGAGTTTGTAGAAGAGGAATAACCTGTCTTAAAACGATGGCGCTTTTCAGAATAAATTCGGTTTTCGTCGAGACACTTGGACAATTACTTCTGACTAATCTTTTCTAAATTCGTGATGACCACGCTGGTCATTCTTAAGGGTCAATACTTCTCTGACTTATGTTTCGTACCTTCTTTGAACATAGGACTTGCTATCACATTCTTCCAGTCTTTTGGCAATTGACCGTGGGTCATAGATAGGTTGGAACATACGCTTAAGGGATTCGCGATGAAATTTGTTAACTGCTTTAGTAACTCAGGATGCATTTCATTGAGTCCTATGGACTTATCTATATCAAGCCCACTTAGCAGACCAAAAACATCGAGCTCTATTGGTGATTCTAATAAGCATGTTGAATGTATAGTATTTTGTTTATTTACTTGCTTTCCGTACGATATGACCGGCTTGATCTGGCACATCCTGGTCAGTGACAACCATGTGGAAATCAACAACTAAAGTTGCATAGTCACTTTTACCTAGGGGTGCCATATAATAGAGGTTTGTGACGTCATCCTCATAATGAGTCAATATGAGATCTAGTAAGGATGATTCGAAGTCCGAGTTGTACTTAGTCGCTTTTTTTATACGTTGCACATATGATAGTCGCATCAAACAGTTTCTGTTTAGGGGAATTTTCTAGTGATTTCATTCTCAGACTTTTGCAGTCTATCGTTGGTGCATCAAGGTCCCAGACAAGGCTGCTAACCCTCACCCTTTCTCTTTCTTCTGGTGGTTGGCCGGATTATGAGGACCTCGACATTTGAGAAGTATGGAATACGATGGACAGCTCGGAATCAGTGAGAAGACTTGGACTTTGCAGATGGAGCGGTCCTTCTATCCAATGAACACCAACCAATGTGCGTCAGGACAAACAGTGTAGCAGCAGACTCTGCATCAGTAAGCTTCAAGATACACAAAAAAGCAACATCCTCAAATGCAACACAGAGAACACCAACCCGTCACACTGAAACAGCTGGGAACTTTCACAGACCTGGTCAGCATCATCTATGAACAAGGAGGATAGGGTGCAGTCGTAAAGAAAAGAATTGTCAAAGTAAAGGTAGCATTTCTACAGTTGAAGAATATATGGGACTCAAGACCATTGTCTGCAAGTCAATATCAAAGTGAGAATCTTCAATACGAACGTCAAGACAGTTCTATTGTGCGTGTCGGAAACGTAGACAACCACTACAACCATCATCGAAACAGTACAAGTATTTATAAACGATTGTCTACGTAAGATACCCAATGTCTGTTGGCCGGATACCATCAGTAATAAATTACTGTGTGAGAGAACAATTTAGTTTCCAGTTGAAGAGGAAGTGGGTTGGACATACATCGTGGAAATCATCAAGCTGCATTACGAGGAAAGCACTAACCTGGAATCCTGAAGGGTAACGGGAAAGAGGTAGATCGATGTACACACTACGTCGGGATTTGGAAGCAAACATGAAAAGTATCAGTACCAACTAGAAACACCCGGACAGGATTGTATGGGACAGAGATGGATGGAGAGTGCTGGTGAATGGCTAATGCTCCTCCATGAGGGTTAACAGGTGTAAGCACGTAAATAAGTAGGTGAGATTATACACTGATCACTTGGCGACTAAGTATTGAGACCGTCTAGCAAGACCTCATTCACTCTACAGTTTGGACTGTGAAACTAATCAGCAGCTCCTGTTCTTAGCATTCTAAGTGGCAGCCAACTAATTCGCATGTCCATCTTACATGGGATTTTTTATAAATAACGGTAAATGGGATAGTATTTCTATTAACTGGATCTCCGTTATGCTTCCAGATTGTATGGTCTCTTACTTATTTGAAAATTTCAAAATCACGTTCCCTGCTGTCTACAAACTACATCAGCCAAGTTTCCGTGACTGCGACTATATCCGGCTTGGTAGGACCTATCTGTACACCCAGATCTGATCGCCTATTGAGCAAGCTTTGGGTATTTATGTGACAAATACGAAGACCATTTAAATGACTTCGTACTGCACCCGAATTGGCCTCGGCATCACTCTCTGTCGAAGCTCCGCTATCTGAAACTTTACGATTGTGAAGTCATTTAACCTTGGTTTCAGTTCTCCTTCTTGTCTTTTTACATGGTCTACGAGTGTCAGGTCTTAACGGACAAAATCTCTTCCCATTTAAAATATTCAAAAGGCATTTGAATCGGCACCAAACATGTTGGGAGTAGTTGCGTGTTGGAGGTTGTCAAACGATCAGTATGAATTCTTCGGATAGTGCCGAGCTGTAAGGTTGAAGATGGCACAGGTATTCAGTTTTTGACAACGCTTTTACCAGTAACACCTTCTAATATAACTCGTACCCACCAAGAGAAATCAAAAGACAGAATCGAGGAGATTAGAAGTTGTATTTGACGATTGCCAATATATCGGAATTATCTGATCTAATCTGGCTAGTGATTGCAGTGGCAATTGAGCACGGCGTTCCTACACGTGATCTGGTGCGGATGCATGACCGAGCGCCTTCAGCTAGGTGAGTCCATTAAAACATGTGATCAGGATCCAATGTCGAAAACCTACAGAGCTTTTTATCTTGGGGAATTATTTACCGCCACAGATCACTCCCCCCTAGTGGGGTAGTGATGATCCTAAGGTGTGGCAAGTCAGAAGTTTAAACCCAACGAGTTTTGTCGTCGGTAAAAACTCTTTTGATAGCTTGCGAGGATTAGCAGCGTCTGATCGTCTTTCCTTACTATATGGGACCGAGATACAGCATAATAAAAAAAGAAAAAGTACATTGAAAGTTTCGGCTCATCGTAAACTTCATCGTTCTTTTTCAGCCGTCCCGGAAAAGAAAAAAGAAAATGTAAGTGCATGTCGAAATACACTCGTTTGTGCGTAAAAATACAATGTCAGCGAAAAAAATGGAAAATAAACTAATGCACACGTAATTGCGTCTAAAAAATGTTATGTTTTTTAAAAATATAAATATATAAGCATATTAAAGCTGTTTTTATAAAAAATATTATATATCGTAAAAAGAAAGATCAAGATAATATAAAATGTCGAGTAGTGTCTTACGTGCAGTAGTCGTTTAAATGTTCTGGAAATCTTACTCTTCTTCCAGAACGCGTCGTCTTAATTTTATTTTCAGATACATCCGGAGTATCATCGCGTGTGTTGGTTGTCGATTGAGGAATTATGAGTGTAGGAGTCGTGTTGTGCGACTGTAACGAAGAAAAATCGACGTGAATATGATTTCCTTCTAAATACGCTGCTTTTAAGCGATCGATGCTGATGCTATCGTTTGTTCCATTCTTATCGATTATATAGTAAGATTCACGTTGAAGAACTTTGATAGGTCCATCGTATGCTGATTCAAAAGGTCGTCGATGCGAGTCTGGACGAACGAAAACGTGTGTACTATATCGTAAGTCAGGTTGAGCGAAAACATCGGTTGATTGTAGTCGAGTAGAAGCAGGTTTAACTGAACGCATTGCGTTTGTAAGCCTGTTCGTGTAGGAGGTTAGATCCATGTTCGTTGAAGAGAATGAAGGATCCACGAATTCCCCTGGAAGTCAAAGTGTCGTCCCATAAACGAGTTGAGCTGCAGTGTATCCAATGTCTGCTTTCACTGCATTGCGGATACCTAGTAAGATGATTGGAAGAGCGTCGGTCCACTGTGAAACGTTTGCAGCTGATAGTGACGCTTTTAGTTGTCGGTGAAAGCGTTCTACCAACCCGTTTGCTTGTGGGTGGTAGGCGGTCGTTCGGAAGCGAGTGATTCCTAAAAGTGTGGTCGACGACGGAAAAGTTGAGGTTCGAACTGACGTCCGCGGTCTGTAGTGATGGTTGAAGGGCAGCCGAAGTTTGCTACCCATCGTTCGACGAATTCGTCGCACCTTAAGGTGCGGGCCACTGTTTTGGCAGTGATGTCCTTGATAGGTACTGCTTCTGGCCATCGAGTGAAACAGCCAACGCAAGCTAAGAGATAGGAGTATCCATTTGAATCTGGTAAAGGTCCTACCAAATCCAGATGAACATGATCGGGAGTTTTAAATGAGCCTAAGGGACATTTATTGTGTCTGATGACCTTAGATTTTTGGGAGCTTACACAGGAGCGTGCTCACTCCCTCACGTCTTTATTCATATCAGGCCAGCAAAACCGTTCTGCTATAAGCTTGATGGTTGCACGAACACCTGGATGAGAAAGTTCGTGCAACGTATTAACGACATTGTGTCAATGATGTTTCGGCATGATTGGGCCATCCCTACCTGAAGATGTGTCACAAAGTAAGGTTTCCTTACCTGTTCTTGTAGAATTATGGTCTACTATGATATTAGTACTGCTCTAATAATAGACCTAATCCTAAATTTGTAGATATGTCATGATATAACTGCCTAATCTATAAGATCTTACGTGGAACCCAAGCTGCCAACTTTGGGGAAAATTGAGTCCATTTTGGGGAAATTTTGGGGAAGCCGCTATAATAAATTTTGGGGAAATGAGAAAAAAAAACCAAAATTTCCCCAGACCTGGGGAAATCCCCAAAATTTCCCCAACCTTTGGGGAAATTTTGTGTTAAATTTGGGGAACTTTGGGGAAATCCCCAAAGTGAACTGAAGGTTTTGGTAATATAACTGACTACTGAATTTTAGTAAGTAGTATAAAATAATATACAAAAGAACAATTAAGCAACGGTTACGTCTGATATAGCCTGCGAAGCCGGGTGAGAGGGGAACGGACACGATAGTTATATCATTTTGGGGAAGCTTCCCCAAACCTTTGGGTTTTCCTGGAAAACTGTTTTAACGCAAAAGCTTCTCGAAAGCCTATCGACATCACGGAAGACCTAGGAGAATGCTTACGTACATTTCTTACTGCGACGTTTTATTACTTTTCGTCAATCGCGCATTGCTAATGAAACATAATGTTAACCGATTTGTCACGATTGTCAAAAGACTGATTTATGAATTATATAAATGTTTATTACAGTTAATAAAATTACAAATGAATCATTTATACAAAGTTTTTCATTGCGTTGTAACAGCAACACGTTACGTCGACGTAGAAGTGTCATTGATAATGTTCTAAAAAATAAATAAATCATTTTTAGTGTATAATAACGCGTCGAGATATGTGAAAGGTTGGTAATGTATCAATAGTATGACAATGTTCTTATTAATGCGAACAAAGAACTTACAGTAACGTCTGATAAAGCCTGCGAAGCCAGCTGAAAGGGAAACAGACAAGAGACAAGTTATATCACTTTGAGTATTGATCACTAAGTAATAAGCTGTTACAGTAATTAAAGTACAGTGATTATAGTGATAAATACAATGACGATTAACATCCTGTGAATTTTGGGGAAAACCCCAAAGTGAACTTCAGTTATTGGGAATACAACAGAATAATGCATTTTATTAAGTGGTATTAAACAATATAGAAAAGAGTAGGAAGGGGAATGAGTAGGAACAATGTGTGACAAAGTTAACATATGTATTATAACAAACATATTAAGTAGTTTTAGCTCACCCTTTCTTTGGATCGCCATCCACGTTTATGTACTTTATTTCTTGCGTCATGCAAGAAGGCCTGGCTTGCTGTAGCCATGGCGTGTAATATTTCTTTTTCCGGGCAGCTTGCACTTCGGAAATGTGAACACAAAGCACCTACAAATATGTTAATACAGTAAAGTTGACTTACTTTGAACCGTCGAGTAAAATTTGTACTTACTTATACCAAATTTACTTCTGGTTCCGTGCAAAGTGTAAATGTTCGCGAGTTCCGGCGACAGGATGTATTGAAGACAAGCTTTAGCTGATTTCCGAGTATCGTCACACATTAGGTTGCGTAACCTTGCCACCTAAAATTTATGCAAACACCTTTTACAACTTACGAAATGATCTCGGTATTTTTTGTTATCTAAAGCTGCCTCTAAAGAACGCAACTCCTCATGCGTTCTTAATGGGAAATGTATAGCATCACTATCCATTTCCTCTGTACGCCTATCGATCACACCCATGGCTGAGCGTTGACACAAAAATATGAGTTTGTCTATTTTCGTAGACAGCTCACTGACCGATTTCAGGAGCGTTCTTAACATTTTGTTTGTATCATCGCACAAACTTGTTATAAGGAATACAGTAAATGCAACTTACGGTTTATCAACTTCCGTCGACGTACGTGGAAGTGGTGGTGATGATACGTCAGCTGTCTATGAACTGCTATATGAGTATTGATAAAGTAGGTACAAACCTCGCAATAGGAGAAAACGTTCCTGTTGAAAGTATGTCTGTTACTGTTATCCACGTACATTCGTGGCTTAAGGTAGAACACTTAAACATACCAATATTACTGGATGGAAAAGAGTCGGTATATAAATCGTTAGTACGCGATTCTGTGACGACAACTGGATTGTCTGTCTCTTCGTCACAGCTCGGTAACTGACACTTCTTTATAAACTGTCCTTTTATTTTCCTCAACCTTCTGTAATAGGTTGATCGGGAACAGCCAAACAACCTAGGGTATTTCGTGTCTGCTGCCCGCCTTTCCGCAATTTTATCGAGCTGTCTATTATTATTCTAAAAGATATAATTCACTTAAGTAAAACTGAACATAGACAGCAACAAAATTTTCCGACCAGCACTGCTGACAACTCACCTGCATAGCTTTCAAATTTTGAAAAAGTGCTTTAAAACCGACAACTCTTTGTCTACTGTCTGATTGTTGATGTATTAAAACAAGACCTGGAATTCGATAGATTATCCCTCATCAAAAGTCTGTATTGAATTGAAATGTGAATTTTTCTATTCAAATTTACTACTGTGAGTCTTATTTATATTATCTCGACGAAATGTTAGTGTGCAAAAATGCGCTACGAAAATTTTGGGGATTTCCCCTAAATTTCCCCAAACTTTGGGGAAAAATATTTCATTTTGGGGATTTTCCCAAAATTTCCCCAAAATTCCCCGAAATTTCCCCAAAGCTGGCAGAAGTCACACCATCGACTACAACAACTCACTGTATCGTATCAATTACCAATACATGATGGAGAACAAAGTTAGGCTAGAGAAAGAACAATATATTTAGTATGAATAGAAGATATAAGGTAACATTCAGAGGGACCACGCCTGCATGGCCGAGCTATGCCATCCGATCAACTCCAGTCTATTCAATTCATTGTTCGCGCCTTCTCCATTCTTAGGTATTTCTCCGCGTTAAATATTGAATATCTATTTTCTGAGTAGTCTCGTGTTCACAGCTTTGTGGATTGTGTGGTTATGGTCCAATGCTACTACATTCTCACCTGTTTGATACGTAACTTGGGCGTTGTGGAGGATAACTCATGCTGAAGATCACTGTCTTCTTTTTGAAGCTCGGCGAGTTTCAGAAGGTCGATTCCTTGAAAACTGTTCAAGGAAGTTATCCGAGACAAAGCGTCTGCAACTACATTGTTTGCTCCAGAAATATGTTGAATATCTGAAGTAAACTGCGAAATGTAGTCTAGTTGTCGAGACTTACGGGGAGAGTACTTGTCCGAAGGAGTGCTTAACGAGAAAGTGAGCGGTTTATGGTCAGTGAATAGAGTGAATTCACGGCCTTCGATATAGTGTTGAAAATGCCGTACAGCACAATACATAGCTAGGAGTTCCCTACCGAATGTGCTGTATCTCGATTCGGTGTCTAGCAATCGTCTAGAGAAAAATGCCAAGGGTTGCCAGGAGTTATTAACCCATTGTTGTAAGACTCCTCCGATTGCCGAGTCGGATGCGTCTACTGTGATGCGTCTACTATGGGTGCTTCAGTGTCCTGATGTGCGAGCATTGTTGCTTTAGCGATCAGTTCCTTAACTGTGAAGAATGCTTTTCGTGCGGTGTCGTGCAAATTAATGGATTTCGCATTTTCACGAAGTTGGTCGGTAAGAAGTTTCATAAGTAATGGCATTTCGGTATGAAGCGTCTATAGAAACTTTCAAGGCCGTTAGACGTGCGTAATTGCTTGACGTTGGTCGGTTCTGGGTAATCCAGAATGGCCGCCACTTTGTTCCTAAGAGGTCGAATGCCTTGAGTATCGATAGTGTGTCCTAGGAAGTCTAATGAGTCAGCTCCGATTTGGCATTTCTGAACGTTTACAGTAATGCCGTGGTTTTGTAGTCGTTCGAAAACAAGATGCAGATGCTTGAGATGTGATTCGCTGTCCGGACTTGCGATTAGACAGTCGTCAACATACGCATGTACGAAGTTCAGACCTCGAAAAACGTCGTCTATGAATCTTTGGAATGTTTGCGCAGCATTCCTTAGACCGAAAGGCATTCGCAAAAATTCATAGAGTTCGAAAGGAGTTATGATAGCTGTTTTCGGTATGTCGTCAGTAGCCATAGAGGTTTGGTTATACGCTTTAACCAAGTCGATTTTCGCAAAGACAGTTGTAGCTGTCAAATCGTGAATGTGAGGCAACGAGTAACGACCGGGAATGGTTTTTGCATTCAATCGCCGATAGTCACCAGTTGGACGCCAATCGTTGTTGTCCTTTTTAGGGACCATATGCAACGGAGATGCATATGGGCTATTTGACGGTCGTCTGATTCCTAAGTCTATCATGTGATGGAACTCGTTTTTCGCCAACCTTAGATTTTCAGGTGCTAATCGTCGTGCTTTAGAGAATACAGGTGTTCTTGTAGTCGTGATGTGATGTGTAACGTTGCTGGTTACACACGCTAATTTCGGTTGCGTTTGCTCAATCCCACGATACTTATCGAGGTTGATAAAGTGTGTCTATCATATGCTTAGGTGTGACTGGGGATAATCTGCAACCAGAAAAAGAAGTTACGCAAACGGATAAATTAGTGTTTTCGTCTACTAGCCTCCATTCGCGCGTATCGATGATTAGATTATGGTGTTGCAGAAGGTCTATACCAATGATTGGCATAGAAACATCTGCAACAACGAAGATCCAGTGAATGGGTTTGCGTAAACACACGTTAAAGGAAACGTACCTTTTGCAATACGTAGCGATATGTTTTCCGTTTGCCTCCTGTAAGTTTAGAGCCGATTCGTGAAGCCGGTCGTTAGGATTTGCTGGGAGAACGCTAACTTCTGCACCAGCGTCGACGAGGTAGCGAACTCTCGTTATCACATCTGTGACGTACAGCAGACGGCTATGTTCGGCGGCTACGGTTGCCGTTAACGCGTGCCGGCTTGGAAGTTTCCCGAGTTGTTTTTCGAGTCAGTCGGTTTCGTGTTGGGAAAATTGTAGGGCTTTCTGCAATTTCTAGGGGACTTTCCATACTGGTTATGACACCAAAACCGGTCGGGGTTATCCGTCTCTCGTGCTTTAGAGACAGATCGCTTACGTGAAATGCTTCTACGTGGGGTGTGTGAGCGATTACGGTCGTTACGAAAATTAAGATAACGTGTAAGTGTATGACATAACTCGGTTATATCATTCTGAGTCGTGTGAGGCTTTTCTTTGACTGAAAAAACCTCGGTAGTAGAAGATTTCGTTATTTCTAAGGTACAATCGGCAAATGCAGCCAGTTCGTCTAAGGTGTTGTTCTGAAACGAGACCAGAATCGCTTGTTGCGGAAGTTTGGACAAGAAAAGTTGTTTGAATAGGCCTTCGTCGAGAGTTCTTAAGCCTATAAATTCTCTCATCCTTTGCAACATGTCCGTTGCAGAACTATGTTGCAGGTCTATGTTATTAAAGAGTTGATCTAACCTTTGTCGATCGGTCAGTCCTCCTCGTTTAAGGATAGAACGCTTTAACGTTTCGTACGGTTCAGAAACATCACTAGTAAACATACTAGGTGTTACGTACCTGTTGAATTCCCGCGGTAGGGCCTTGACTACTGCGGGAAATTGTGCACGTGTGTCGTTCACGCCGTGCTCGTGGAAGTCGGCTTCTGCGTAGCAGAACCAGGCTTCGATATTTTCGGACCAGAAAGACATGAGTTGAAACGGGGGTGAGGACATAGTCTTAATCTTAAAAAAAGAGAAATCAAAAGATAGAATCGAGGAGATTAGAAGTTGTATTTGACGATTGCCAATATATCGGAATTATCTGATCTAATCTGGCTAGTGATTGCAGTGGCAATTGAGCACGGCGTTCCCACACGTGATCTGGTGCGGATGCATGACCGAGCGCCTTCAGCTAGGTGAGTCCATTAAAACATGTGATCAGGATCCAATGTCGAAAACCTACAGAGCTATTTATCTTGGGGAATTATTTACCTCTACAAGGTGAATGAGAAGGAGGCTGCTAAAACTGATGGGGAAAAAGCAAGCAATAATAAATTACTAGGACGCTGGTTGAATGTAAGCCGATGAAACATAGAAATAATGGAGATAATACTGCTTTAAAGTTTTAAAAAATCAAGTTGAAATAGATATCTTTGACAAGTGTTTGAGTTCTTCAGATAAGAGACATTGAGTTTGCTGCAGGAGTAATGATACCGCAGTGGTAGTACGAAAAGTGCGTTATCAATCGATGCTGATGTTTGTACTGCCGTTGGTTTAAAGTAGAAAGTCGGACGGTGTTGTTGATATCTTCTGTTCATAAGTGTTGAATCCTAATTATGTCTATATTTAAAAGACTCACTGTAAGTACAGAAGTTTAACCGTGAACAGCTGTGATTTCGTTGTACGAAGCTATTGATCAACTTCTAGTCACATTTTGAAAAGCCAATGATTGCTGTACAATCAGTAAGGGTCGTAGACTACAGATCGAGAGTGACAGTGACACTACGTTTTCTCTACAGGACGATAAACGGTGATTTCTGTACCGAAACCATCTGTTAGGTAACAGATAGGAGGAAATAATACCTCGTACCATAAAAAACGACGTCGAAGTTGAATAATTACAATAGTTCAGATGTGTTATAACGTCACATCGAAATAAAATCGTTCTTATTTATACTTACAGTTGCATTGAATGTTCAGTTGTGTATTAATATCTAACAGATGGATGTGTGAATAAAAACATATACGAAGATTATGGTGGGGTTCATGGGGAATTCCAGAGGTCATTTGGACATTTTCCAAACCCGTATTGCATGTAAAGAAACAGAAAACGGAATTAAAATGACTTTCGTGTAATAAGGAAGTCGAGCCATGGCTGACCGTGAGAGGTAACAGCAAATACAAAGCGCATAGTAAACATAAGTAAAAATGGTAACCGCCAATGTGACTAAATTATAGAAGGTTCGGATAACGTGACCATTTCGTAAATGACTAATGCAAAGAGCTTATTACCTGGCGTTAAGTGACATATCATGTACGATAAAGCGGCCAGTTAGAGCATGGACTAAGATTGCTCGTGTACGTGCAACAGGTTTTCAAAAGTATGTTGAATTATGAGTCATAAGTGTACATGATTTGGACTAAAGCGTGACGGCAGCGACAGAATATATGTTTAATCTGTGTGAAAGCAACTGTGAAATGTTATTTAGCTTCATAAACATAATACGAAATTATCTAATGCAATTATGAAACTCGCCTGGGTTACTCTCACTTCTAAGTAATGAGAACGTGAAGTAGATAGTAGTTCGAATTTGGATTATATACGAGGTAAATGCTTGAATTAACACAACGTTGTAGGCTGAATTTGTATAGGTCCAAAATTAATTTAAACCAAATACGTAGCGCTGCCTGACGGACAATCTAAACGAGATCTAATATTATAGGAAATTTATAATTCAAGTTCATAGTAAATTTCTAGCATTCGTATCCTCTGTTTGACTACGGAACTCAAGAATCGGAAATTAGGCAGGCAGTGGTCAAGTAATTAAAACATCCTAGTAGATAGTTTCTGACGAAAGGTAGTTGATATTGATTAAGCAGAAAGATGAATTTATAATCGGCAGTTAATCTTGTTAAGTGGAAGGGTTACAAACAAATGTGTGTCCGTGTTGCCATATGGGTATACTTATGAGTGGTTGATATTTTAACAGACATATTACACAGGAGCATTAACATGCTGCTAATAATTGTTAAAAAGCCATGATAACCGCTTATAATCGTGGTCCATTAGTTAGTTCTATCGGTGGAGCTAATTATTTAAGTTTAAGTACTAACCACTATTGATGTGGAGTAACGAATGTCCACAGCAACCGATTAACTTAGTAGACGATAAAAATGAAAATGAATAATTACAGGATGCAATAATAGAAATTATTATAATAGGTTGTGTTATTCGAAATCTTGTTCATCAGTGTATATCACCAACGTGGATGATCTATGTCTAATGATTGACGGCCTACTCGAGCTAGATGGGAATGGTGTGACGAACCATCTAACTTCGAAGTAACACTTTACAGTCAGTACCAAATGTGAATTACACTTTCGCCGTATCAAGGTACTATGGCTGCTTTGAAGACCGTATGATACGAAGGACGTTTTTACAGAAATGTATTGGTAGGCGTAGGTACAATGGATAAGTTGTGACCACCGTCGTATGGACCAGTCCATGGTGTGTGATCAATTGATGCGCATTGGTTGTCCTTGAACCTAACAAGAATCAGTGATCTGTTCGATATTTTTTGACCTGATTGCGTATGATCTGGACAAGGCCTATTAACATGTAAAATGTGATCGATAGACGAACTCACCAATAATAAAGGGAAACGCCCACCACCACATAAACTCCCTTTGACCTTGTACTACTGTATCACTTTATTAACCAATCACAGTTTGATGTCCATTGTAAAGCAGTATTTGCTTGTTGACCCATTTTTTCTGTTCTCTGGCTACTGTTCCGTATGTTATTTGTCTGTTTTTTCCCTGTATTAATAGACCGTACAGTTTGTTTGTACACTAACGATGTTAATTTATGTTTTAGAAACAGATCAAGTTTATCTAGCCAAATAGCTTGCTTGTTCTGACTTTGGCCGATCCATGACTCTGTATTCGACGGTCTAGAGAATAGCTCAGAATTAAACCTGCAGGAAATTGCTCCCTACAAACATTCTACAAGCTCTACACGTCTATCCCGTAGTATTAAGTCTCTTCCATAGAGATATTTAAACGCTAATTTCAAAAGGCTTGTTCGATTCTACTACAATCCCATTTGGGTACCAAGTTTATAAACTTGTGGCGGTTAATAAATACCCAAATTCACTAGCTCTGTAGGTTTTCGACATTTGATGCTGACTTCATTAGTTTCACTGAATCCACCTAGCTGAAGGTACTTGGTCACGCATCCGTACCAGATCTCGAGTGAGCACGTCGTGTTACACATCTCCTAAAACTGCCAACCAGTTTAGATTAATCACTTCCCAATATATTGGTAGCCTATCAAATATATCTTCAAGCTCCTTCATTTCTGACTTTTCATTTGATAGGTTCACACACTTCAATTGTAAAGGTGTTACTGTCTAAGGTATTATTAAACCCCGAATACTTTTAGCATCTTTCATTGGAGTAGAAATCGCAGTCGTGTTACACACATTGTGGGATCTTGGATGATTGTCACTGAATCGGATAGTCAGTATGTTGTTTTTCCTGCTAGAAACAGACCTAACCTTGCGATTGGGCATTCTAAGAGTCTCCTGCCTACTGCCATCTGAAGTGCCGAAAACAGAAGAAACTTTTTTTGTGAGCTTTCACTATTAATAAACCTCTTTATTGGCCATCCTTCCTTCAGTGGCTCATGTAAGTCAATGGACTTTGAGCTTTTCTCAGGTAGCATCACGTCAATCTGTGTATACACTGGGTAAGTACAATTTCATGTGGCTCGACTACGCTTGTTAATACTCCTTTTGACAGCATTCACCATTGTCGTGGATTCGGATAGCAAACAGTTTGTGCTTGAGCAGCATTGCTGATACAACCACATGCGACTATTTTTGCTAAACAGTTAGACTCATGCAAACTTCATGATATCATCCTTTGAACCCAGAGACAAAAGATACCGATGACAACAAGACTGGTAATTGTCAGAACAGAAAGCTCAAGCAAATACAAAAAGGGTCAAAGTACATATGACAAAAGATTATAGTAGCGATTACTTTAACTGAAATAAATTCAATCAAAGCAAAAACAATAGTCTTGATGCGTAATAAATGACCAAAACGATAAAATTAACTTAGCTCTCCTTTTTACATAGCGCGCTATCAAGATTTTGTTTTGATTATAAGGTTGTCTTATAGTCGCGCTCTTATCGTCTTTGGTTGCGGTCGGTAGCTTTCGTTTTTAGATGTAAGTACGCCCTGTGTGCTTACTGAGTCTTCGGATCACTTCTTTTCCGTATAATCTTACTATTGTTAGCACCCCTAGCATACAAGGTACCTTCAAGGTAGACACAAACCTACCTAAGGCTGGACGTTACAGGTTATAACGTAGGAGTGACGATACACTCAAATTGTTGGGGGTATGGTTAGTGTGTGTGACTATCTGGTATGTGAAACTAGTTTTATTTATCTCGTAAAAGTTTCAATAATCCCAAGATTTGGTAATCGTATACCATACTTATCAGCTAGTTAGGAAGTGTTGTTTGATTATAAACTAGTTAGAATTTTTCAGTAAATAACGTCATTTTCATTTTATTTGTGTACAGGCTGTGATACTGCCCGGGTGTCCAGACCGAAGCAGGTGGTTTTCTTAGGGGGCCACGTCCCGAGCCTTTGACCTAAAGGTCTGACTCACAAGGCAGTGGGGCATCGTGAGGAGATGCAATCCCATGGTAGCTGGGGACAAACGGTTGGTTCATATACCATTTGTTCTTTCAGGGTACTGGAGCCCATGTTCACCATTGATTTAGAATCCGGTTAAAGCTTCGGACATTCGCCTTTCGTCCTCTCATTTTAGTAAACAACACCCCCGCCACGAGAAGGCGGTGAGTAGGACTTCCCTGGCAGAGGCTGTATACGCGTGGGCGTGTGAGAGCACTTCGAGAGTGTTATTACACTACCTTACACTAATCTGGTCGTTATTGTTCTCTTTTCTTTTCGCTCCTTACCTTTTTTTCTCTTCCCATTCTCATTGTTTTGTGTAGCGCATATATATTTGGTGCCCTCTTGTACCAATAATTGTGTTCAAATAAATAAGTAAACTAGTTAACTATAAAATAAAGTATAACTAACGGCATTTTTATGACAAATTGACCCTAGTGTGTTGAATTATTCTTCATAGTATAGACAAGTTTTCACGTTTACATGTTAGTAGTTAGGTTAGTATTGTGAGTTAAGGTTAAAATCCCATGAGGTTTTCGTCACCAACTGATGTCAACTACGATGCAGTGGTGCTTTACCACCTCTTTGTTCACAAACCTAATAAACTCATTGCTGATATTGAGTGACAAAATACTGTCTAGCCATATAAACACTCCACTATGCATATTATGAGTCAGGCACTGCCAGTTTTTACTTAGCTCATAGCAACATTAAACTTGTTCTTCACTGCACTTCTGTTGACTCACTTTTAATACTGGTTGGTTTATTCAGTGTGTTGTAATTTCACCTTCGATATTTTCCTTTCCTTTTTGCCACTCTTTGGGAACAAAACAGGAGTAAGTTGCATTCACTTGTAATCCTGCGAGAAAACCTTTGATCTTGGTTCCTTACTACTTAGCACACCAACGACGTGTATATGTGCGTGGTGTTTGTTGTTAACGTCTCGAACTGTGAGGCTGGGTGACATGGATATGAATCTCACAGAGAGCATCAACTCCAGTGTTACACGTGTGCCTTACGATTGTAGTTTTTCATTGCCAAAGTGAACATGTACCCTTGTATCGTAGAAATGACATTGTATAAATATGACGAGATCCTTACATCAGCGAATATGGTTAGTAGTGTAAATCACTATGGAGTGATCCTATTTTACTTGTTCATTATAAGCTTCAGGATCAAACCCTCATTACTCATGTGATGTAGGGATGTTTAGATATACTTTTGTTCAGTCAAACTACTGGTTACTAACAAATGTACATACAAAAACTTAAGATTTACGGAGAGTTATTATATACATCGCAACTCTGAGATACTGATGTCGGGTAACATGAATGATTTTCTTTATCAGAGATACTTTGATTTTAAGACGGGCACATGTTTTTCTTTAGAGAAGAAGTATGATTTTTCGTCCTTGGTTTTCGATATTGATAAGAGTTTATCTTTCTTCTAGATGATGACTTCAAACCTTGGGTTCTTTAATTTAATGGACAACTTCCTGCCATCAGATAAGTGTTTACTAGTGAATGACTTAGGGTGTACTTCTTATAGTACCAGGTACGAAAGTTGCTTTGTTTAACAACGATCCAAAAAGTAGCGTTTCTTGTCCAGACTCATCTTGCCTTTGTGTCACTGAGGATCTACAGCTGATGGAACAACATTATGCAACTTGTCATCATCATTCATGTTCACTCTGTGGTTTAAGTTTTATATCTTCACGACTTCTTTCGGTACATGAACAAATTGCACACTGTGGAGCTTTTAAACCAAAGGTAAATATGCAGACAGTGGTTTAGCCGTTGGATTTCAGCTGGACTGTTTTCTCGTCGTATGTCCTCAAAAGTTCTGTGACTCCGCCAAACTTTTCGCACATGCTTATGATTGCCATGGGCTTCTTCCTAACTCGTCAGTACTCATAGGTACAATGATAAGTGTCAAGAATTGCAATTCTAATAAAATTGTAAGAACATTTTATAAAATCATTGTATTGAATACATTCTCTCTTATTAAGTTTTTCAGTCAACCGGTTTTCTCGTTTTGCAAAAATAAACTGAGATTTAATTAGTTACTTAAATAAAAACAGGTGTCACTCTGTCCAGCGTTAGGTTGAACTTCCCGTAGAATGTCCGACTAGTTATTTAATGTAAATATTGCATGACGCTCAGACGAAAACGTGTGAGTCAGAGTTGTGAGTTACATTGTAACACGAGTAAGTAGAATATAAAAATGATGCACTTCGTGCACCAGTACGAACAAATAAAACTGTCTAGTTCTAGAACTCGTATACTGATCTGTTTTAACAAAACATGTCAGATTACTGCGTAATAAGTAGAATTTCGAAAGTCTATTCGCAAAAGGTGGTGGGCATAGTTGACAGTTTTCGATTAACCAAATGGTTTGTTTTTAGAAAATTTGAATTCTTATTGTCTATATTAATAAGAAAACAATTGTTAAAGTTCTTTGCATAATAGTCATCATTTTGTAGACAGTAGAACGATTGATGAAATGCGTTGAGAGCACAAACAACCTTCTGGCAAAATAACTGCCAATAAAATGTTGTATACCTTAGTTGCATGAGTTCTAAAGTACGTTTTGGGCGATTTCGCAGGTTGTGTTCCAACGACCTGATAATCGTCCATACAAATGCCATGTTGTATTGTGTGGATGCTGTTGTTCGCTGAACTACGTGTGAATGTTGTCCGCACTCAGTATTCCTTAGTTGTATGAGTGCCACATCGAGTTTCGGGCGATTTCGCAGGTTGTGTTCCAACGACCTGATAATCGTCCATACAAATGCCATGTTGTATTGTGTGGATGCTGTTGTTCGCTGAACTACGTGTGAATGTTGTCCGCACTCAGTATTCCTTAGTTGTATGAGTGCCACATCGAGTTTCGGGCGATTTCGCAGGTTGTGTTCCAACGACCTGATGATCGTCCATACAAATGCCATGTTGTATTGTGTGGATGCTGTTGTTCGCTGAACTACGTGTGAATGTTGTCCGCACTCAGTATTCCTTAGTTGTATGAGTGCCACACCGAGTTTCGGGCGATTTCGCAGGTTGTGTTCCAACGACCTGATAATCGTCCATACAAATGCCATGTTGTATTGTGTGGATGCTGTTGTTCGCTGAACTACGTGTGAATGTTGTCCGCACTCAGTATTCCTTAGTTGTATGAGTGCCACATCGAGTTTCGGGCGATTTCGCAGGTTGTGTTCCAACGACCTGATAATCGTCCATACAAATGCCATGTTGTATTGTGTGGATGCTGTTGTTCGCTGAACTACGTGTGAATGTTGTCCGCACTCAGTATTCCTTAGTTGTATGAGTGCCACACCGAGTTTCGGGCGATTTCGCAGGTTGTGTTCCAACGACCTGATAATCGTCCATGCAAATGCCATGTTGTATTGTGTGGATGCTGTTGTTCGCTGAACTACGTGTGAATGTTGTCCGCACTCAGTATTCCTTAGTTGTATGAGTGCCACATCGAGTTTCGGGCGATTTCGCAGGTTGTGTTCCAACGACCTGATAATCGTCCATACAAATGCCATGTTGTATTGTGTGGATGCTGTTGTTCGCTGAACTACGTGTGAATGTTGTCCGCACTCAGTATTCCTTAGTTGTATGAGTGCCACATCGAGTTTCGGGCGATTTCGCAGGTTGTGTTCCAACGACCTGATAATCGTCCATACAAATGCCATGTTGTATTGTGTGGATGCTGTTGTTCGCTGAACTACGTGTGAATGTTGTCCGCACTCAGTATTCCTTAGTTGTATGAGTGCCACATCGAGTTTCGGGCGATTTCGCAGGTTGTGTTCCAACGACCTGATGATCGTCCATACAAATGCCATGTTGTATTGTGTGGATGCTGTTGTTCGCTGAACTACGTGTGAATGTTGTCCGCACTCAGTATTCCTTAGTTGTATGAGTGCCACACCGAGTTTCGGGCGATTTCGCAGGTTGTGTTCCAACGACCTGATAATCGTCCATACAAATGCCATGTTGTATTGTGTGGATGCTGTTGTTCGCTGAACTACGTGTGAATGTTGTCCGCACTCAGTATTCCTTAGTTGTATGAGTGTCACATCGAGTTTCGGGCGATTTCGCAGGTTGTGTTCCAACGACCTGATGATCGTCCATACAAATGCCATGTTGTATTGTGTGGATGCTGTTGTTCGCTGAACTACGTGTGAATGTGTTGGGACGGTATATTCCCAAAATTCATATTTGTAATTTTATCATATCGATTGACTCATCGATTAAATATTTGGAAGGAAGTCACATGATGAACTTATCGACTAAATATTCTAATGCCTGTCGAGTGATGAACTGAATGAGTCATGTTTAAAAAATAACATTTAATTTGACAATATCGATTTTATATATTTATATATATATACGTTTAATTTGTGTCTGAGTTGACTACTGTTCGCTGCTGCTGCTTGCTTGCTTGCTCGCTCGTTTCTGGTTGTATGCAGAATATATTTTCCATACCAAGCCTGGACTTCTCCTTCTAGTTAGCGGGGCTGGGACGCGTCAATAGTTAGATTACTGGTCTTTGGTCACTGAGTATTGTTCTCGTTCGCAGTCTAAGTGAACCCGTGAAGCTTCAAACCTAACAATTTGGCGACGGTGATTTCGGAAACATGGATCCATCTAAACTTGAATTATTACTCGAGCAGCAGATGAAACTTATTCAAATGTTAGCAGATGCAAAGCTTACATCTAATTCTCAACCAAGCAGTTCTAATCCTATTACTACTGCACCATCAGTTGATGGTATTGCTAACAGTATCTCCGAGTTTCATTACGATCCAGAATCCAATGTCACGTTTGATATGTGGTTTCGACGTTACGAAGACTTGTTCAAATTTGACTTTGCCAACCAGGATGATGCTTGGAAGGTCCGCTTGCTGCTTCGAAAGTTGGGTCCTAGTGAACTAGACAAGTATTGCAATCTAATTCTGCCTTTAAACCCACGCGATCGTTCATTCTCCGACACTGTCCAGTCATTGAGCCAACAATTCGGAGACAACTCCTCACTATTCAATGCGCGCTATCGATGTTTGAAGCTCACTATGAACGAAGATGATGATTTTCTCACACATGTGGGTATTGTCAACCGAGAATGTGAACGTTTCCGATTGAAGTCGCTTACTGAAGATCAATTTAAAGCACTCATTCTCATCTGCAGCCTTCAATCGCAGAAGTTCAGTGACATTAGAACACGGTTGCTAAGTCGATTGGACCAAGACCCAAAACTAACTCTTAATGATATTGCAAATGAATATCAACGTCTAATCAATCTACAGCGTGATACTACAATGGTCCAGCGTGGTGGTTCAAATCGTACCGAAGTTCATGTAGTCCAACAACCACTTAACTCGCATAAATCTGCCCCAGCTACATCTAGTTCAGGTCGACAGACAAAAACAAATCCTCCTGCTCCATGCTGGCACTGCGGTGCATGGCATTTTGTTCGATACTGTCCATATAAGCAACATCGGTGCAGGAAATGTAATGTGGTGGGTCATAAAGATGGTTTTTGTCGAAAAAAGAAGCCGAGCAACTCCAGAGGTACCAGAAAACCTACGCCTAGATCCAACACGAATTCGTTGAGTCTAATAGCAAGCTGTGAGAACTCAACCCCAGTTGAGAGGAAATTTATTACCCTTAATATTAATGGGCACCCTCTTAGATTGCAAATAGACACTGCATCTGATGTAACGATTCTCTCACGAAAATCTTGGATCAGAATGGGAAGACCACGCCTGGTGCCGACAACGCAAAAACCGCGAACCGCATGTGGTAATTATCTACGTTTGTTGGGACAACTAGATTGTAAAGTGTCTTTTCATGATTCGACGTTTACCGGGTTATGTTACATCACACCAGCTAATCTTAATCTACTTGGGTTAGACTGGTATGACCAGCTACATTTAGCTGACGTTCCGTTAAGCACCGTATGCCATCTGGTTGAACAACCTCATGAACCTGAATCATATTCGAAAGAACCAATGACGGAGTTTTCGACCAGCGAACATCATACGGCCGGCGAAGATGCAGTTATTGCCTCCCTATTGACAGAGGACCGCGCACAGTGTCAGCAAGCAGCCAAGTGTAACGCGAAAATACTGCCGGTCCCATGGCCACAGCCTGAGTATCCCTGGTCCAGGATACATGTCGATTTCGCAGGCCCAATTAATGGAATTACCTATCTAGTCGTTGTTGACGCCTTTTCGAAATGGCCAGAAATCGTTCCCGTCGTGCCACCAACGACAACTCAAACGATACAACTTTTGACAGAGATGTTCTCTCGCAACGGGTTACCGGATATAATCGTTTCCGATAATGGTTCGCAATTCACCTCAAGTCAATTTCAAGAATTTTGCGAACGCCTATCGATCAAGCATTTCCGCTCTCCACCTTATCACCCACAGTCAAATGGACAAGCAGAAAGATTTGTAGATACATTCAAGAGAGCTCTAATGAAGTCGAAAGGGGAGGGGACGACAGTAGAAACACTGCAGAATTTCTTGTTTGTTTACCGAACAACACCTAATGATATGCTACCACAGCAGAAGTCCCCGGCAGAGATCCTGATGGGAAGGAAATTGAGGACGATCCACAGTCTCATGTGCCCAAGAACCACACCACCACCATCCCATACCAAATCTCAGAAGCTTCCAGCGTACGAGGTTGGATGCCCCGTGTTCGCTCGAGACTACAGAGCAAATCATGGTCCTTGGATCGAAGCACGTGTGATTGGAAGACTAGGTCAAGTTATGTACGAGGTAAAGGTGGGAAGAGACACGTGGACTAGACACCGAAACCAACTACGTAAGCGGATTGCCCCAGACCACCCATCAAATGCAGTAAATCTTCCCCGCGACATCTTGCTTGATACTTTCAACTTACCTGCAGCCCCATCACAAGAAGCTCGACAGCAAGCTGATCCCCGTCCCAGAAGGTGGCCTCTCCGTCAGCGGCGAACTACAGTCAAAATGCAAGTCGACCCCAGAAAAGCACGCTATTAAAAAGGGGAGGAGTGTTGGGACGGTATATTCCCAAAATTCATATTTGTAATTTTATCATATCGATTGACTCATCGATTAAATATTTGGAAGGAAGTCACATGATGAACTTATCGACTAAATATTCTAATGCCTGTCGAGTGATGAACTGAATGAGTCATGTTTAAAAAATAACATTTAATTTGACAATATCGATTTTATATATTTATATATATATACGTTTAATTTGTGTCTGAGTTGACTACTGTTCGCTGCTGCTGCTTGCTTGCTTGCTCGCTCGTTTCTGGTTGTATGCAGAATATATTTTCCATACCAAGCCTGGACTTCTCCTTCTAGTTAGCGGGGCTGGGACGCGTCAATAGTTAGATTACTGGTCTTTGGTCACTGAGTATTGTTCTCGTTCGCAGTCTAAGTGAACCCGTGAAGCTTCAAACCTAACAGGATGTTGTCCGCACTCAGTATTCCTTAGTTGTATGAGTGCCACATCAAGTTTCGGGCGATTTCGCAGGTTGTGTTCCAACGGCCTGATGATCGTCCATGCAAATTCAGTTTTTTTGTATGCTCTTTAATATATTCAATCATTGTATTTGCTGAAATGATTAGCAGTTAAACGTAATATATTTTATAAAATGAACTGCACTTATAAAGTTGTTTTTCTTCAAGTTATGTTTAAATATGGTAGTGTAGTTACTTCTGTTTTTAGATGTCTGAGTTTGTTGTCCACCGTTGGGATGAATCCATTGATGGCCAACTCACCCTGGAAAATATGTTGAAGAAGCTCAAATCCGAGGTATCGTCAATTATTTTGTATAATAATTTAGTTCCTAAATTTATGTGTTCACTGATTGCAGGGTTGCAGTTGCATAAATTACAAATTCAGTCCTGGCACCAATTTCCCGGAACATACCCACAACGAAGATAAACTGGACTGTATTGTTAGCGGTCAGCTTTCATTTACTATGTATGGAAAGGAAATTATATTAGGTCCTGGTGATCGTCTTGAAGTTCCTCGCAATATACCACATTCTGCTCGTGTTGTGGGCAAAGATCCTCTCGTATTTGTGGATGCTACACGAAAATCATAAAGTTCTTAAAACCTTATTTGTGGCCATTTTGATTTTATGGTTGTTTTTATGTCGCATGAGTGCTGTCAATATAATGATCAAAATTATTGCGTACTTTTTTTCCGAAATAGTCTATGGGCATACTATACTCACTCCATGCTTTTGTGAATAATTAAGGAATCCAAGTTAGAAACTACAATTAGTGGTTCCAAGAGATAACTGGTTGAAATCGGTAACCAGCATCTTTTGCAATGTAGATATATTTTTAAGCCTTCTCCCTGGGGACTAAGATTCACTTTTGGTTTTCCTGTGTTCCAAACAATATGACTATAATGTTAGGATATCATACAAACATTGTTACAGTTAGCGAAGCTTAATGGGCTCTTCACATTACATATCTTTCGTCTATTCAATTGACTGATTTCACGTGTAAGATCTGGAATCTAATTGTAGAAGTGTAATTTATATTTGAAGATGGTCATTCATATCAAGTTGATACATCTGAAAAGTTTTTAAGATTCCTTCCCCATACCAGTAGTTAAGAAGTATTTGAGATGGTGGGAGATATTTGTAGCTCAGGCTGTGGATTTCGAGCTTCACAACTAAACTATCCTGCTCAGAGAACAAGACACCCCTAAAAAAGCAAAGGTATTTATTCCTGCTCATGATAACGGAGCAATGGCCTTGTAGTTGAAGTACCGTCATAAGATCGAAGTTGGTTTTCCACATATTTTGATTTGGAAAATCAGGTTTTAGCACCAGCACTCATGGTGTGGCTTAAAGTCGAGTACATCAGTCTGTACTATGCAATTGATTTAGATTAAATAACTAAAATGACTCGTTATGATTTCCTGATTACCCACTCTTGCTGTATGGTTTATTCGTCTTACTAATAACTTCATTCTGAGGATTTATGATGGACCTACCAGCTAAAGGAAATTTTTCATTTGTTGTATTATCAATTCCACTTCTGATTACTTCGTAGGTAGACTTCTATATTCTTCCGAACTTCACATTTTCTGCTTTAAGTTGTTTATAGAACTCATGAATTGAAGCGATAATGTTAATACTCCAGCTCTATCTACAATGTTGGTGTTAGTTGAGCAGTGTCTTGCACCATAAGCTGAGAGGATGGTACATTTAGTCGCTGATGTCTACCCAGCCACTCATAGCTACAGAAATATAAACCGAAGTTGGGCATTTTTCTATGGTAAAACGTATTCGGTAAATCTGGAGTTCGTAAAATGAAGTGACTACTGGATAATTAAATGATGAAATCCATGATTATTTCAGGTCAGTCAGTCAGTAACAACGTAGAACTTCGTACGTACGTACATCAGTTCGAGTTGCCACACCACCTTAACACAGAGGTGCAGTTGTCGATCCAAATCTCGTAGTGCTAGATGTAGTAAAACTATAAGCAGTGATCGGGAAGATTAGGGTTTGGAGATGTTATTTAAAGAGTATAATTCAGTGAAATAAATTCGGAAAGAAGAAAACAGGGACATGAAGAATTCAGATTATAATTTGGGAGAACAGGAATAGTGGATGCACCTGCGCCATTGCAAACGATTTTGAGCCATGTCATTCAGGGTCTCTAACTGTCGGTTGCTGCCATCTCGCGGTCCCCAACCAGGTAGTCTACACCTACCAACATGACTCAGACCACTTGTCAGTGACTTCATGGACTTGTGCCATGTTTTGGTCTGGCCGCCCCTAGCTTTCTTCCAAACTACTCCTATACCACTGAACATCGCACGTCGAGGCAGTCGGTCGTTGGGCATAAGTAACACGTCGCAGCCATCTCAACTGTTGAAGTTTCATCAATTGATTTGCCATCCTTACCTAGTACCCGTTTCCTAACAACTGTGTTACTTACTCGATGGTCCCATGATATACGAGCAATGTTTCGAAGACACCTATGATCGAATACTAGTAGCCTACGAATATCCTCTACTCTTACCGGCCATGTTTCACTGCCATAAAGTAGGACGGGACGAACTGCTGCGCAGTAAACACGTCCTTTGGTTGATAGACGGATATCTCGCCTACGCCATAAATGACGCAAGTTGGCAAAAGCTAGTCGAGCCTTCTGTATCTGTGCTGAGATTTCGTCACACACCAGACCACAAGGGCTGATGAGACTTTCAAGATAAGTGAAGCGGTCGACACACTCAACTACTTCACTCTCTATCATTAGTTCAGGTGTCCATGCAACCCAATCCTGAAGCAACATTTTGCATTTCGAGGGAGAGAATCGCATCCCGAACATGCTTGCATTGTTGCTTAGAGTGGTCAGAAGACTGCATTTTGTCAGCGTCTTCACCAAATAAAACTATGTCATCAGCATATTCTAAGTCAACAAGTGAACCTCCCGGTAGTAGTTCAACCCCTGGAAATTTAGATGAGGAGAGTGTTATCTCTAAAAGTACGTCGACCACAAAGTTGAACAAGAATGGGGAGAGTGGACAGCGCTGACGAACACCACTTGATGTAATCAATTCTGATGACAGTTCGCCATAAGCTCTCACTCTACCAGTTGTGTTCGAGTAGAGAGCCTGAATAAGGTTAATATACTTCTTTGGTATTCCTTTCAGTGACAAACACTGCCATAGAACCTCACGATCAACAGAGTCGAATGCCGCCTTAAGGTCGAGAAATACTCCCATTGTGGGGCGTCTGAATGTGTGTCTGTGTTCTAGAACCTGACGCAGTGTGAATATCTGATCTATACAACCACGTCCAGGTCGAAAACCGGCCTGGTTTTCTCTAATCTGCTCTTCACGAGCTTTGATTAGGCGTCGAAGTATTATTGAGGCTAATATTTTAGACACTATATTAGTCAAACTGATTCCTCTGTGATTGTCACAAGAGGACTTTTGTCCTTTCTTATAGACTGGCACAATCAGTGATTGAGACCAGTCAGATGGGATTACGTCCAGTTCCCAAATTCTACCTAAGACCTCAGTTAATCTCATTGCTAATACTGGACCACCATCCTTAAAAATCTCAGGAGTAAACCTGTCAGGGCCTGCTGCTCTCCCTCGTTTCAGATTTCCTATGGCTTTTTCAACTTCGTAAAGGGACGGAGGACTTACATTAACTTGCCATTCAGGTTGACTAGAGATTGTGGGAAACCGAAGTGCACAAACGGCTGTCTACTGGGATCCACTCTAAGAGAGCTAGTTCTGCTCTGGGACTCAATGCTATACCTGCGCCGGCGAGGCCACGGGAAGCAGAATCAGGGCTTCCAGATACACGAAGCGTAAATCGAGTCGGTTCTTTATTTTGGCATGGTGAGGTCAAATGAATGACGCTACTCGGATCTTGTATGCGCGTTTCGGAGACGCAGCACACATCGATGGCGCGAGATTCTAAAGTCCTAGCTAAGGAAGCCTGCTGTCCTATTTAGCACAGTGTTCGGACGTTAAAAGCTCCTACGTGTAGTTTAGAGCGTGGTTTCAGGAGACCAGGAATAGCGTTCCACGTACTCGAATCATTTGCCCTAGCGGTGCGAGGTGATAAAGGGACGTGAGGAGGGTTAGTCATGGAGATAAGAGAGGTATTAGGAGGTTTTGGGAAGGATTTAAATGTGACCAACTTGTTCTCGTGTGCTGTTACGGGTATGAGGGCTGATGTCACTTCCCGGCTGCCCACACCGTGGAAGGGTATTTCTTGAGGAATCTGAAAAGGAAATTAGATTAGTGTTGGTCTTGACGACCTGGGAGCGTGACCGCAGAGCCCAAGGGACAACTGCTTGAGGCCGGTCGCGCACGGCCTTTTTGTGGAAAGTTTTTGACGTGTTAGCTCCGTTCTTCAAAGGGCCTTACCGCCGGAGACGGAAATCCGTGAGGTAAGGTGAGGTGTGACATTTTTAGGGTCGACCTTTTCTAACCCCACCCCTCCTTGTAGGAAGGCAGCATTGCTGTCATGCTGGTTGTCTGACGGAAACACCTTACTGCTGTCACACCGCTCCACAGTCAGCAGTACGACTTCGCCCTCAGACCTTGAGTTGCTGCTTTTAGTCTTACCGTTCACCAATCGACCTGCCTGGCATGGTAGAACCTACAGGAACATATGTTCCAGCCAATATAGCTCGGTTGGGTCATCACGATAGGCAAGCCCGACCACCGCGTCAAGGTAGCAGCTTCGGTCAGGATTATTTCAGGTAGTAATGGTTTAGCCTATTGACATTGGATTTAAGGAAATAATAGTCGGGTTATTATTACCTATCTCAAAAACTGATTGTCTTGTATGATCTATAGCACATGCGGAAGTAACTTCAATTGTATGTCATGTAACTTCTCTCGACCTTTACATATAAACATGTGCAGTGATTCTGCTTGTTCTGTTTTGCAAATTGTTCTTACATTCGCTACTTTTCTAATGCTATCACGCGTACTATATGGAAGACTTTGTAATGATATGGCCTAAGCACTATTCATCAAAGACATGTAGACATTGAATAAAAGACTCGATGTATCTGAGACCAGTTGTTGTAGACACTAAGAATCAAAAGGATACATCACTTGTCATTTTTCCGTATGCCGTCCTAAATACATTGTAGCTATATGCTCCATATTGACTGATTCCTGTTAACAGTTTCCTCTAAGATTTCTCTGTATTGTTGGTAGATTTGATAATCTGAACCGAATTACTGTTGTGCAGTATTCATTTTTCTGCTTCGTATCCAAAAGATTATTTTAGGTATAGCATCCTTTTACGTATATAGGTCATGTAAAAGAAATTTGTTTAAATAATGTATTTAATATTTGTTATCTCATCTGTCCTGTTCCATCATGGATCCTTTATTAGTTAAGTTCTCAAAGTGCATACGATGAAGTTCCTTGTATTAGTCGAATCTTCCCCATAGTTCCCAGTCGTTCATCCAAAAGGACAAGGTCACGTTGGAGGGTATACAACGGCGAGCCACGAAATCAGTTCGAGGACTCAAATCTAAGCCTTACGAAGAACGCCTCCATTCACTAGACCTTTACCCATTAGAGTATAGGCGTCTTAGAGGTGATTTATTAATGGCTTATAGTATTCTTAACAATTCTGGACATCCTCTTAAACACCTACTTAAGCTTAGTTCGAATAATAACCTAAG